AATATATATATATATATATATATATTGGGCCCCGTGCTGGCACGGGGTCCTATATCTAGTGTATAACTAATACTCACATAACTTATTCCACCTTTTATCCTGCATAACTTATACATAGATTCCATCATAAATTATGTAGGTATTAATTATGTAGGATTACAAAAAAGACAACCAAACACCGTATAAAATTAATGCATGAATAACTTTTATACAATATTTAAAACTTATCAACCAAACATAGTATAAGTCATGTTGATTTTTCAACCTAATAAAAAACTTTTACCAAACATAGTAAAACTAATACAATATTTTATACACAAATAACATGCCCACTTATACCGTAATCAAACGGCCCCTAAGTGCTAATTGAGTCTATTTAAGCACATTTAAGTGTTGGGTGAATACTCTAACTCATCTAGAGGACGGCTAGGGTTAGTGAAATTATTTGCATATTTTGAAGAGGATTCTTGGCGATTAGTAACTTGAGTCGTGATTACTGCAGATGATTCGATTCCGCAAGGAGAAAAGTTTCACACCTAAAGTACGTACTTCCCGGGACAGTCCGAACTAGTTGAGCTTTCAATACGAGTTATGAACATTGATTGAAAAACAAAAAGTGAAAAAAGAAGAGTAAATGGATACTTATCCATGTAGCTAGGTACCCACTCGATAAAAAAATTATGACGGCTCAATTCCAAATAAGTTGAGAAGGAGGAAATCTCAAATCAAATTATTTGGAAGTAAGGAAACGATTATTCTTTATTTCACTCCACTTATGGAGAATGGCTATAATAGCCCCCATAACTAGTTTTTTTTTATTAAATAATAATAATAATCCATTAGTATCAAATAGAGTTAATGATATCTTTCTTGTGCAATTCATCAAATAATGTCTATAGTAAGAAAAGAAAGGGAGTAAAGTGTTTAAATAATAATTAAATGTGGAAGTTGATTATAATATTGAACATGTGTATCATAGCAAAGAATATTTAGATGGCATGTTCTATATTATTCTAATTGAATTTCAAACATCATCTTTATGTTCAAAAAGAATGAACGAATTTACATATGTATCTACTTTTGAAATCTCTACAAAGGATCGAATACAAAAGAAAGAATTTATTTTCCGAAATTCCAAAGCATGGTCATCGAAGAAAAAGAATACTGCAAATGTGCCAACATCGAGTGGTTCATAGATTGAAGGAACAAAAGAATAAACTCAAGGGTTCATCTTTTTTGCTCTGATTTTACCAAATAAAAATAAAAATAAAAAAGTCCCTCCTTTTAATTTAAGAAAGATACTTTTTTTTTTGAATTTCGAAAATAAAGATTTGGAAAAGGATGCTCTAAATTCGGCTTGTTGGTAAAGGGTCTTCGACGAATAATTATAAGTCGTTAAAAATGTCATTGACGAGCCGAATTTTAAGGGGAAACTCATCAGAATTTTTATAAAAAATTAATGATTCTCTAATAGTAATAGTTCATTAATTTTCGAAAAATTATCTTTATTAGGAAACATTTTATCATTCAATTGAGATTTATTTATACAAATTTAAATTTAATTTAATTTTAATGTAAATATAGTATAAAAATTTAAAAACAATAATAATAATAATAATAATAATAACCAAAGTCAAGGAGGGCACCACGAACGGTGTCGAGCCGCTGCCAACTTTTTATTGAATATGATGAATTCAAACATTGATTAATAAATTGTCTTTTTCAGTTTTGTTCGGATTTGAGTCTTGCATATAAAAAGTTTCTTGATAGAATTATGCAATGTGAATTTAAAATAATCAGATTTTAATGAGTATCAAACACCAAATGAGGAAATTAAATTTATCAGTTATTAAAAATCTAAATATATTATTATTTCATAACTAAATTTTTATGTAATTAGCGTTTAATTTATTAATAATTGCATAATTTTAATCATCGATGAATCAATCGTTAATTGTCAAAAGGTGGACACGTTGTGTATGTGGAAGTGTGTCTTTTGTCTGCAACAGTATAAGTCCACCTGACCTTTCCACTCATCAAAAGGGAATCATATATTTAATTATTTGTATAATTTTACTCTAAATTATGAACAATTAATATAATTTAATATGAATCTAGGTAGATTATAGTGTACTAATTCCCTCTAATTCATTATTTCTTGTTTTTGTCACAAAAATCATTCAAATATTTGTTACACTAGAAAAATAATACTTATCTAAATGGATTCAATAAAGATCATTATCTTGAAAGATAATAAAGTTATTTTTGATAGAATATATATTTGAAAGTTGTTTAATATGAAAATTTTCATTTTGTTAGTAATTACATACTCTTATACTAATAACATATTAGAAGAGATAAATTAGGAATGAATATACTTAAAACGAGAAAAATAAGACTGAAATGGTTCGAACATATAAAAAAAAAATACAAAATGCACCAACAAGAAAGTGCAAGAGGCAGGTTGTCGCAAGCTTTGGGAAGGTAGAGGTAGCCGTAGAAACATTAGGGAGAAATGATTAGTCAGTACATGACGTATCTATAGCTTGTTGAATACGGAAGACATAATGTTATACCTCATTTGTTTCAATTTATTTGTTTTACTTTTTCCTTTAATCTATTTCAAAATGATTTTATTTTTTTTGACAATTCTTTATTTCGATGAAAGATTATTCAACTTTTTACATGATACATTTAAAATTTTATAATTAAAAATTATTTTAATATATTTTTCGTTTTACTTTCTTAAATTTGATGTCAAATCAATATCGCAAATTCTATGTTTAATAGTAATAATATGTCAACATTTGGATCCTAATGACAAGATACTCTATAGGTACATGTCAGGTTACATAGTTAATAAATATGTATATATACCTATTATACTCATAATGTGTTCATTTTGTTTGGCTCTCCCTTGGTGGCTGCTGAAATCACAAAAGCCCTAGTTCCTTCATTCTCAATTTCACTTTACACATACTTTCTGGGGTTTTAACACAAACCCCACCTGCAAAAATTATCAAAAAAGTAATAATTACATATCAAAAAAAGAAGAAGTTTCCTCCTAGAAAGGTACTTTCTTGAATTTGTTTGTTCTCTATATTTGATTTTTGGAACATTTTGGCATAGATATTGAATTCTTGTTTCTGTTGTGTTATCTTGATTGGTTTTGCTTATTGAATAACTTGTTCACTTTGAAACTAGTTGGAACTTGGGGTCAGCTTATTGAGCCATGTTTGTAAGATTTTTTGTTTTCAAGAAAGAAAAAGGTGAGATTTTTAATAGAATTCCTATCTGGGGTTTATAGAAAAAAAGTCATTTGTATTTAAAGAAAGTCCCCTAATGTAAAGGTACTTTCTTGAATCTATAATCTAACTTTTCCAAAGCAAGGGGTTTGCCTTCGGGTTGTTGTGTGGTTTGTGAGCTATTGCGTAGGAGCAGGTAGCGGCTGCGGGTTTCCCTTGTTGGAAAAACATAAATCTAACTTTCAAGTTTTTTGTTCTCTCTGTTGATTTTAGGAACATGGTGTCCCAGATTTCTTGTATTGTATACTGGTTTGCTTATTGAATAGCTCCTTTATTTGAGCCATGCCAATTATCTACCTACCTTAAATCAGAATCTAGTTGAGATTGTATAATTGAGCTATGCACTTGCAAGTTTCTTTTCTTTGAAGAAAAGAAAAGAAGGACTTGAGCCGGGGTCTTTCGGAAAACAACCTCTCTGCCTTCACAAGGTAGGGGTAAGGAATGCGTACACACCACCCTCCCTAGACTCCACTTGTGGGATTACATTGGATTTGTGTTTGTTGTTGAAGAAAAGGAAAAAAGGTTTAATTTTTAGCTGAAGTATAATATCTTGAACTTTACCCGTTTACTTTAGCAAATTTTAATTGATTTGTTGTTTTTAGTTGGATTTGGACATCTTTTTTTTGTTGTATTTTCAAATCATCACCCTAATTGAGCTATGTACTTGCAAGTGTTTCTTCTTTTTTTTTTCGAAGAAAGAAAAAGATGGGATTTTTAGGTGAAATCTGTAAGCTTGAACTTTGAGATTATGGTTACTACTTACTAGCTAGTATATTTTTGCATTTTTTCATCAATTTGCTTGTTTTTACTTGGATTGAATATTTTTTAGAAGTTAGGCCTTCAAATCTTTCTCCTGATGTATTTTCAGTTCAAGTTCTATTCTGTCTATTTGAATTTTTCGCAACATTTTTTCATAGATTTGATTGCTTGTTTCAAATTTTGTACTCTCAGATCTGTTTTTTTTTTCAGAAAGGAAAAGGTGGAAATTGTGGTTGAATTTGGAATGTTGAACTCTGATTGGGAGCTAGTTTGTTTAAACAATTACTCCTCAATTCTCTGTTTTAACTTGGATTTAAACATCTTTTACAACTTGGGTCTGCTCTTAAAATTGTTATCCTTATGTTGCAATTTTTCTTCGATTAAGTCTTACTGCAACAACAACATACCCAGTGTAATCCCACCCACTAGTGGGGTCTGGGGAGGGTGGTGTTTACGCATTCCTTACCCCTACCTTGTGAAGGCAGAGATGATGTTTTCCGAAAGACCCTCGGTTCAAGTAATGTGCAAGTTATACTAATCAAGAAAAAAATAGATAGCTGTATTAGTTCTCTCTTGGTTATGTTTAATTTCCTTCTATAATATTTGTATGTGGAGCATTTGAAATTCCTTTCTTTTTCCCCTCATTTTTCGTCTTCTGTTATGCAGTCTTGAGGTGGGAAAGCAAAGAAGGAATTGAATCTCGAGTGTTCTGCTCTGATTTCAATTAGTTTGGCTGTTTTTTTTTGGATTTAAACAAGCAAGAAGGAAAGAGTACACGAAGCAACATGATTCTTTAGTATGGTAGACCATGAATTGAGGTTTATTGAAGAATCCTATTTGTGTAAGTGGACAAATTCATATTTCTTCTTCATATTCTGCTTTGCTAAGTTTGTCTTAGTTGATATCCTTGTAGTTCTGTGCTTCTATTATTTCGGACAGTAATGTTATCAAGCTTTAATATGATCTAAAGTTTTAATGCTAATGAATCAGTTCCTTGTGGCGTAGGGCGAAGTGTTTTTTTTTAGCTTAGGTCAATTTTTAATGTGATTTATAGAAAAGAGGTATATTCATAGTTACCCTAGTTTACCATAAGTATTCAAGCTTCGTTACTCCAAAAGTAAAGATGAAATATACAATCATATACATAATGCGTCTTGTTTCACTAAAGCTCACGCTTTTATTGCACTTTGCGTTTAAAAATCCGACAAGGAGCTTTTCAGTATTTTCACCTTTGAGCTTTGACTGAAAAAAGAAATGCTGTTATATAGTGTCATAGACTGAAAAAAGAATTGCTTGATTTATAGATTTGGTAAAAGAAATTGTCTTTAGCTCCATATGTGTAGCTACCTACTTGTATGGTTCTTCTTGAGGTCTCGAAGTTTGAAACTAGAATGGTCCGGGATTTCTTGTTTACATGGGAAAAGCTGAAAGTGTTAGGAAGGCTTTCTTCTGAGTATATAACCTCTGTCCATACGAACTTATAGCAGAAATAGGAAACAGCAACAACAACATACCCAATGTAACCCACAAGTGGGTCTGGGGAAGGTGGTGCGTATGCAGCCTTACTCCTACCTACTAAAGGTAGAAAGATTGTTTCCGATAGACCGTCGGTTGAGTAAAGAACTACAACAATTAGTAAGAAAAGGAAATACAGTAGTACAGGAGCCAAAATAGTGGAGAAAAGAATAGTAACAACAACAAATAACAACAATAACTGAAACAATGGAAACAATAGCAGAAATAGAAAGTTGAGGAAAATAAAAAAGGAAAGATGTTTTCTTTTGGTCAGATTAGCAAAAAGAATCTTGCATGGTTAGAGGGGGAAGGGGGGAGAGAAGTCAAATTGTTCTACGTAATTTTCCCGAAAACATACTCTGTTTGTTATTCTGGTTGACATCTGCTAAATCATTCCTTTTCATATTCTCTTGACCTTGTGTCTTTTGTGTGGTGGGTGAATGACCTGAAATATGGTTTTTAATGGAATTCAATGTGGTACAGGATGATTATTTATCATGATCTGTTGCTGAAGGTTTGACTCGGTGCAAAGTTTTACTCCATTGTTGCTGTTTACAGGAACTTGGTGTAAAGTTTGATATCTAATGGATAGAAAGGATACTTCTGGATTCGTAAGCGGGGGTAGGATGTGCTCTTTTTGACACATCTAATCTTAGTTTAGCCACTAACTAATTTTTAGGCCGGAAGGCAGGTGACTGTTCTTTTGCAAATTGCAATTGAGATTTGGTTCAATAGGAGTGTTGCATCCTAGCTATTAGGTCATGGACTCCAGATTCCACTATTTGGGGTTTTCTGCAAACCCTTCATTGAATACATCCAAGAGTCTGGGAGATTCCATCCGAGTTAATGGAGCTGGAGCTGAAGGTGCTGATTGTGCTGATACCACCCTGCAACTTGATTCCGTTGGGTCCTTAATGCCTTTATTCCCTGCCACAAAGGAAATAAAACACAATTGGAGCTTGATTCGTGGATCTGTTGATCAGCAAATTGGTTCATCTTTGTGTCTAAGCTTAGGCCGTTCATCAAGTGCCTCGGAAAGTAAATGGAGTTCAGGCATTGTATGTACCTCAATATCTCCAGCGAAAGAAATTGGTGAGTCCTCGATGGACCTGGAGGTGGACTTTGGTCTTTATCTTGCCAATGATAAGAAACTAAGGCCAAAAAGTTTGATTAGCTCCGATCCAAAAGTACTTGATGAAGGGCCTGCAATTGATCTGGAATTGAGTCTTTCCAGTAGTGCTGCTGAATCTGATGTTACCAGTTTGCATCTAACCTCCACTTCACCACAAAGTGTCATAAAGGTGCCACATGGTTTTGGTGGAGCTCTTCAGACTGATGAAGTATCAGCGGTTTCTCATTGGAAGACCAGTAGCATTTTTCATCCGTTACATGTGCCACAGGACCAAGGGTCTAGTTACTTCTCGAAACAGGTGACAAAAGAAGTTGAGCCATCTTCAGTCTCTCTTGATCCTTCCTCAAGTATAATAACAAATCAAAATAGCTCAGTCACTTGTACTTCTGAAACAAAGAAGCAGCAACGCGGCAGTGGCATCAAACAATGTCAGTTCAAGGATTGTATTAAAGGAGCAAGAGGTGCTTCCGGCTTTTGCATTGCCCATGGTGGAGGACGTAGGTGTCAAAAACCAGACTGCCATAAGGGAGCTGAAGGTCGAACTGCCTTCTGTAAAGCCCATGGTGGTGGTCGGCGGTGTGGATTCCTTGATTGTACCAAGAGTGCAGAAGGACGCACTGGCTTCTGCATTGCACATGGGGGTGGACGCCGTTGCAGTTATGAAGACTGCACCCGTGCTGCCAGAGGGAAGTCCGGATTATGCATTAGACATGGTGGGGGCAAGAGATGCCAGGAAGAAAACTGCATAAGAAGTGCTGAAGGACTCTCTGGCTTTTGCATTTCACATGGAGGTGGCCGGCGGTGTCAGTACCCCCAGTGCTCTAAAGGGGCACAAGGAAGCACCATGTTTTGCAAAGGCCACGGTGGTGGGAAACGTTGCACATTTGAAGGGTGCAATAGGGGCGCAGAGGGGAGCACACCTTTCTGTAAGGGTCATGGTGGAGGGAAAAGATGTTCATTTGAAGGAGGTGGGATTTGCCCAAAGAGTGTTCACGGAGGGACTCTCTTCTGTGTTAGACATGGTGGTGGTAAGAGATGTGCCATACCAGAGTGCTCCAAGAGTGCTAGGGGCCGGACAGATTATTGTGTGCGTCATGGTGGTGGTAAAAGATGCAAGTTTGTAGACTGTGGAAAAAGTGCTCAGGGTAGCACTGATTTCTGCAAGGCGCATGGCAGTGGAAAAAGATGTTCTTGGGGTCAACCTGATTCCGGATTTGGCCAAATGGATAGTCCTTGTAACTCATTTGCAAAAGGGAAGAGTGGACTTGTTGAATCTCATGTGGAGCAAGACAAACGCGTTCATGGTGGTGGTGATACTCTAGGGGCTGCGATCTTGGATTCAACACCCCTAAATCCCGGGAAGATGAAGGAGATCGATATCATGAACACAGGTTGGAAATATTTTGGATTCAATCAAGCAAGTATGCCAGTAGGTGGAAGCTCATCATCAGTTTCCGAAGGAAGAGTGCACGGAGGAAGTTTGATGGCAATGCTGGCAGGTGGTTCATGACATACCTTAAACAGCAGCACAGGTACAGTGAATACATCCGTGCCAGGCAAACCTTTTGTAACGCCAAAAAACTGGACGTGAGGTATTTCATTTCGATTGTAATGCTTCGAACTTGTGCAACATTATTTGTGTCATTTCTGTTATATAGCTTGTTCACTATTATGGTTATTGAGAAGCTGTTCTCTGTCATTTGTTTAGTCGGTTTCGACTCGAACTTGATACTGTTAATATATATAGTGGTAATAATGTGCATAGCTGTTTTCTTGTTGCTTTGGTCTTGTAAATATTTTGTAGTATGAGTAAACTCATCATAAAGATGTTTCTATAAAACATCATTTGTATACCTAAGTTTTGAGTTTGATAATATTGCCATTATTCTGTAGTTGTCATGTTAAGGCTCTGATCTGTCACTCGGATTCTTCAAAAATGTTGATGGATGTGTGTCAGTTCCTCCAAAAGTAACGCATTTTTGGAGGATCTGACACGAATGGGACAACTATCATTACTTTTGGAGGAACCGACACGAATGGGACAACTATTTGGAGAGTGTCTGTTCATCACTATTTTGTTGACAAAGAGATGCAAATTTTATCCCCTCATCCTATTTGAATAAACGACGTTGTTATGGAATAAATTATATGGACTATTCTATTTATTCTTTAACAATAAATAATTTTTTTCCTTACATATATACTACAAGACAACTTGTTGGGAGCTGTTTGATGACATAACCCAGTTTGATTGTTCCTTATTTTACTATTCCTTACTGGCAAGTGGCAACTAGCAAATCAAAGAAGTCATATCTCACAATTATAAAAGTATCAATAAATAATTGCAAAGAATTTTTTTTTAAAAAAAAATGATTAAAGTATACAAATAAAAATGACTGGAAGGTTTTTTTTCTTATTCCTAACTGGCAAGTCAAATAAGTGTTTATCTTAAAATTTTATAGGTAGAAAAGGAAACTAATACAAAAAAGAAAAAGAAGAAGATTTAAGAATGCAAATAAAAAACATTAGAGGGGTAAATGTGTAAGCATTTGATGTCGAAATAGGAGATTACTCATGTAGATGTTTAGGACATTTATATCCTTTAAACCTATTTGCGCAATTCTCGTGCGTATGATAATTGCTACAGTTGAAAATTAAAATGCTTTCTTTCTGACCTTCTCGTATTAAAGAAGATTCTTTCAATACTTTGACGTTCATTTCGAATATTAACCAAATTTGTCATCTACTTTCAAGTTTCAAATTCGTCAACTACTTACAAATTTATCACGATTTTTAACTTAGCTCCCAAAGGTACTCCACCTATAGTCCTTTATAGTTTTGTCATATAATAAGATATAGAAAAATTCCACGCATCATTTTCACTTACATTACAATGTTTTCACACTAATTTTTTTTTAAAGCATTTTGAATAAGAAGTTGCTAACTATTTCACCATACACTTTGTGGTATAAGAATATCAATTATAATCGGACTTTTTGATATCGTTATTTTGTATAACAATATTTCACTATAATATTTGAATTAATTTCTTATATTATGTTATATTACATGTTCTTTGTAATAACATTTTGATATATCAATAAAAAAATATCCAGTGCAAAAGCTTAATTTTGTCATTTCACCCCATGAGTAAAATGTTGAGTCTTCAGACCATAGGCCATAAATATCTCTGTGTTTGACTGATCAGTCTTCACAAACTCCAAAAAAGAAAAATGGGCAACTGTAACAGCTTATCTTCCGACCACCCCCCCCCCCCCGCCGCCGCCGCCGGCGGTGGCGGCGGCGCCACTTCAGCGCCGTCGACCACCGGTATCAGAATCATCCCTTCCTCACAAACACCACCTCCACGACCATTCTCCGGCATCGGCCGTGTTCTCGGCCGGCCAATGGAGGATGTCCGGTCCATCTACATTTTCGGCGGCGAACTCGGCCGCGGTCAATTCGGAGTCACCTACTTAGTTACTAACAAAAAAACGCGCCAGCAGTTCGCGTGCAAGTCAATCGCTACACGAAAACTCATCAACAAGGACGATGTCGACGACGTCCGCCGTGAAGTTCAGATCATGCATCACCTTACCGGTCACCGGAACATCGTTGAGCTTAAAGGAACTTTTGAGGATAAACATCACGTTCATCTCGTCATGGAACTTTGTGCCGGCGGCGAACTTTTTGACCGGATAATTGCTAAAGGACACTATTCCGAGCGAGCTGCTGCTGGAGTTTGCCGGCAGATGGTGACTGTTGTTCACAATTGTCATTCTATGGGAGTTATGCATAGGGATTTAAAACCTGAAAATTTCCTGTTTTTGAGCTCCGATGAAACTTCACCATTGAAGGCTACTGATTTTGGGCTATCAGTCTTTTTCAAACCAGGTATTATTTGATCACCGATCAATTGCGCCTTAATTTTAAGCTAATTTAGGTCTGCTGTATGAATAATTTGAATACTTTTGCTTTGTCCATCACCACTCTGAAAGAAACCAATAGCAACGACAACAAACCATTGTAGTCCCATAAGGGGGTCTGAGGAGTGTAGAGTGTACGCAAATATAACCCCTATCTCATAGATGTTGTTTTCAAAAGACTCTCAGCTCGAGTAACGCACATCAGAGTAGTTAAAAGAAAATACAGAAGTAAAAAGGACATGGAATATAATAGGGAAATCATAACATAACATTAAAAAAACAGGAGCAATAACAATAACAAAACTAATGAGATAATTGGAGCATAGTAAATAGCAAGGATTTACAAAAATTGTAAGACAAGCAACTACTACTGATATGAATGAGGAAACAGTACAACGCATCAAACTAGCACCAAATCTATCCCGCCTGAAAAAGATACAATGCTCTACCTGCTAACTTTCTACCCTAATATGCGACCTCCATAACCTTCCATCTATGGTCATGTCATTGGAAAGTTGGAGTTGAGAATTTTTAGCAAGGGGATTTAAAATATGAAAAAGTAAGCATATGAAGAAGTCAAGAGCTTTGTTAGATTTTTTGCTGGACCTCTTTGTTTACGGCTCTTTGGGAGATATTGGTGAGCTATTCAACCTAAAAGCCACCTGTGGCTGCAGGTGATGTGTTCAAAGACCTGGTTGGTAGTGCATATTATGTCGCTCCTGAAGTTCTGCGCCGAGAATATGGACCTGAAGCTGATATTTGGAGTGCTGGAGTTATTCTATACATTCTACTCAGCGGTGTTCCACCATTTTATGGAGGTAATTTCATCTGCTACCTCTATAATTTTAGCATCAGAATTTTCTCAAGTTTCTTCGTCATTATTGATTTCCTTTTCATGACAGCACCAATAGAACTATGGTGAATTCTTGCATGCACCATGTAACATCTTTTTATTTCCTTCGTGCTAAAATATGAAGAAGAAATTGAAGAAACATGTCATTCAGGAATTGTAGCAGAATGCACTGGAAATATTAGGAAACACGATGAGATGGCTTAAAAAGTTGAAGAATTTCATACTTATCTTGCAGATATATTTTTACAGCATTTTTTCTCCAATTTTTTCATATTAAATTTTTTTATTTGAACAGCATTAGTATGTTCCTCTTGTAATTGCCGTAATATCACAATATAGAAAAATTTAACTTACTTATATGATATCTTGCATTAGTTAGTGTTCTCCTTAGTATCTGAGCATTGTAGTTTTCCAACTCCATATTTGCAACTGGCTTCCCGTAAAATTAGCAAGGGGATAGCTGCTCCAATTATTAAAACCTCTTTCCATGTCAAACTTGGGGAAGCATATCCTATTTTTAGGAAAATGATTTTTAAGATGTTTTACAAAATTTTGCTGAGCCTTTTGTTTCTAGTGCTGAATAACTACCAGCTTTTTTTGTACGCAGAGAATGATCAGAGTATCTTTGATGCTGTTCTTCGAGGTCATCTTGATTTTTCATCTGATCCTTGGCCTTCAGTATCGAGTAGCGCTAAAGATCTTGTTAAGAAGATGCTACGATCTGATCCTAGAGAAAGGATTTCTGCAGCTGAAGTCCTAAGTAAGATTCAGCTTTGATCAAATTCTGTCATAATACACTGCAGAATGTCTTTCTTATATTGTCTCTATTTGGTATGATCTGTTATATTTATAATTAAGAGGATTACTTTTATTTGTATAGCTATAGCATCCAGAATTCCTTTAGCTAAGTAATTAGTCTATGAAGTCCAAAAGATTATGCCAATCACCTATAGTAGCGAGTTTGTACGAAGACCCAAAGATAGTTCACATCTATATTTCAAAACATGGATTACTCGGGTTTTCTTTCAAAGCATCCATGGGTTGTTTTCCTTCCACACATTCCATAGGAGACATGCTCATGCTCATAGAACTCAATTTTTTTTAAGGAATAACTGTGGTCCTTGCGATAACTCCTACTGGTAGGTTCTGGTATGCATAATTGATGGTTTTAATACTTATAATCTCTGGAATGACCATTTCACACTGTACTATAACTGAAGTAAATATTATATGCAATTGCAGATCATCCATGGATGAGAGAAGATGGTGATGCATCTGACAAACCTCTTGACATTGCTGTCTTATCTAGAATGAAACAATTCCGTGCTATGAACAAGTTGAAGAAAGTAGCACTGAAGGTCAGACTCGTATATTCAATGTTCTAATTCTTAACGAGATAGGCAATTTCTCTCCCTTTCATGTGTTCCCCGACAACTGTGCTTATCTTCCGTTTCCCTGAATTTGTAGGTAATTGCTGAAAATCTTTCTGAAGAAGAAATCATTGGCTTGAAGGAAATGTTCAAATCTATAGACACAGATGACAGTGGGACAATTACATTTGAAGAATTGAAAGCTGGTCTTACAAAAATGGGTACAAAGCTTTCTGAGTCAGAAGTCAGGCAGTTGATGGAAGCGGTATTTTCCTGGCCATTCCTTATTTTATGGTTACTGTTCCCTCTCTTTTTAGCTCATATCTCCTTCTTGCAATTATTCGTCATGTTCATTTTACAAATTTGGAAGCAGTGGATCACTCGTTGAGATGTAAATTTCTGAGAACTAAAAGCTTCTCGGTGAAGTGCATGAACAAGAGATTTACATAGTCCTGAAGAAATTCTTCATTTTGGCTTCAAAATACCATGAAAATGATGTATATGCTCTCAATCCCCTTAAAATCATTTGACATAAAAAATATTGGGCTTCAAAATACCATGAAGACTGCATGCATAGAGTGTACTCATTAATGCATAGTCCATAATACAGATATTTGGTTGTTCTTCCAGGCTGATGTTGATGGAAATGGAACAATTGATTACCTTGAGTTCATAACAGCTACGATGCACCTGAATCGCATGGAAAGAG